GCCTTCAGGAGCTTTGGAGAATAGCTTGACTCCCTCTTCTTTGTGGCAGCCCTCAAATATCGGAAGACTACTGTCATGTCCCCCCTCGTCCTTCTCTTCATTAAACTAGACCAGGGGTAGGCAACCTTGGCTCTTTTATGACTGGTGGACTTCAACTCCCAGAATTCCTGAGCCAACCATGCTGAGGGGAAAGGAGAGGTTTCCAAGCTGAGCCATGCTGACTCAGGAATTCTGGGAGTTGAAGTCCACAAGTCAGAAAGCGGCCTAGGCCTAGGCCAGAGGTAGGCAACCTTGGCTCTTTTATGACTTGTGAACTTCAACTCCCAGAATTCCTCAGCCAGCCTGGCTCAGCTTGGAAACCTCTCCCTTTCCCTCAGCATCGCTGGCTCAGGAATTCTGGGAGTTGAAATCCACCAATCATAAAAGAGCCAAGGTTGCCTACCCCTGGTGTAGACACCCAATTCCAGCAACTGTTCCTGATATGTTTTAGCCTTTAGTGAATAGGACCGTTCTTCACACAACCGTTGCAGCATCCCTGCAGTCATGTGATCAAAATTCAGAGGCTTGGCAACTGACTCATACTTATGACGGTCGCAGTGTCCCAGGGCCATTTGCGACATTCTGACAAGCAAAGTCAAAAAGGGAGCCAGAGTCACTTAACAACCGTGTTAAGTGCAGCAACTGCAGCCAGTCCCTTAACCGCTGTGGCAAGAATGGTCACAAAATGGGGCAAAACTGACTTAATTCACTGAACTGTCCTGCTTAGCAAATGGAAATTTCGGGCTCCCTTGCGGTCGCAAGTGGAGGACCGCCTGTGTTGTGTTGTGTTGTGTTGTGCTGGTACTTTTTTGGGGGGCCCAAATACCTTGTTGCAGTGAATCCTTGGCTTGAACTGTGGAAGGCAGACATTGATCACCATATTTATGGCTGTGAATGGAAATCGGCTTCCCCAATTTTTAATCCGGCTCTACAATAAAAACACAGAACGTTTTTTTAAATCCCAACAGACCAGCAAGGGAGGATCATAAAAAAGCAAAGGTCATCCTCGGGTTACAACCACAATGGAGCCCAAAATTTCTGTCGCTAAGCAAGACAGTTGTTAACTGAGTTTTGCCTCATTTTTACAACCTTTCTTGCCGCAGTTAAGTGAATTACTGTGGTTGTTAAGGTAGTAACACAGTTGTTAAGTGAATCCGGATTCCCCATTGACTTTGTCGAAAAAGAGGGATCATACGACCGCAGGACACTGCGACCGTCGTAAGTATGAGTCAGTTGCCAAGGGTCTGAATTTTGATCATGTGACCCCGGGGAACACTGCAGTGGTCGAAAGTGTGAAAAATGATAAGTCAGGGGGTTTTTTTTAGTGATGTTGTAACTTTGGCTACTAAATGAACCGTTGTAAGTCAAGGACATTGGGATGGCCTAGAATAGAGATGTCCAATCTTGGCCACTTTTAAGGCTTGTGGACTTCAATTGCCCGTCAAGGACCACCTTTACAAGACACTTCTGCAGGCAACCTGTCTTAATTAATTGAACGAGGAGGCAGCAATATAAAATTTCCAAATAAAGAAATTTGGTGCAGATGGAGGAGCGATGCAAACTTGTGACAAAGGTTGATAAGCCGCGAGGACGACGACGTTCTCCACCAGGGTCAACACGACAGGTCGCTGTTCCCAATCCTGAGGGCAGGTTCGCCATCCAGAGTCTGGGATAAGCTATTGCCAATGTGGGACTCTAATTAATTAATTAAATTCTTTTTAATTAAGGAGAAGCTGCCTAACAGGGAGGACAATTGACCAGTGGAACACCTTGCCTCCAGAAACTGTGGGTTCCTCATCACGGGAGGTTTTTAAGAAGAGACTGGACAGTCTCTTGTCTGAAATGGTATAGGCCATGGCGGCAAAGCTAGGGCCCGCGTGCCACAAGCGGCACGCGGAGCCGTCTCTGGTGGCACGCGAGCCATTGCTGGGCTGAGTTGCTCCCTCCTCCTCTCCACACGTGCGCAGCTCTCCGCACATGCGCAGTCTGGGATGAGGCAAGAGGCTATAAAGCAGCGGTTCTCAACCTGTGGGTCGGGACCCCATTTGGGTTCAAACGACCATTCCACGGGGGTCGCCAAACAACGCAGTCCGCCTTTTTTCTCCCTTTTCCTTGGCTGTGCTACTCCCTTTTATTCTATTGGCTTTTGAAAGCCAATAGAATAGACTCTCTTGAATAGAGTCTAATTCTATTGGCTTTCAAAAGCCAATAGGAATTGTCCAGGCTGTCTCTGCCCTGCTGAGCCCGCCAAAAGTCCCATTCTGCAAACGGTGCTGCAAGTTGTCTGAAGCGAAGGCGAGCTGTCTGGAAGCTTTCACCCCTCCCTGCTGAGCAACTACTAAAAATGTAAGGAAAAGAGGGCCAGGGGTGGGAGGTGGGAGGCCGGCGGGCGCAGGGAGGGTTGCTGGCGCACGTGGGGCCCGGCGGGTGCCTTACCTCCCTTTGGCTGGGCCAGCTGGTGGCCCAGCCGGTGGTTGCCCTGCGCCGTCTCTGCCGCTTGCCACCTACGCCTTGGCTGGTGCAGAGGGCGGCACCACGCTTGCGTGGCACTCCCGGGCAGGGAAAGTCCTCAACTTACGACCGGTTGGGTAGTCCTCGACTTACGACCGGTTGGGTAGTCCTCGACTTACGACCGGTTGGGGGTCGCGGCATTAAAAAGGTTGAGAACCACTGCTATAAAGGGAGCAACTTTCAGCGGAAGCAGGCACGGAAAGCGAGGCAGTAGCCCTACAGGTGTCCCCATGCGCAAACATGCCCCTGCCCTGCCACGCAAGTGGAGCTGCGGCATCTTCAGCAGAAGAGCGCAGGTGGGCAGCGGAAGGGAGCCCCAATCCCAGCCCAGCCCCTCCTCCCCCCCTCAGAAGAGCTGCGGGGCTCAGGAGCCTCCCCCCATGCCCCCCCACCCACTGAGCAAGACGCCCTCCTGCCCACTGCCCCACCCGCCAGAGCAACATGGAGTTGGCCACGCCCACCCAGCCTGCCATTTCCACCATAGCCACGCCCACCCAGCAATACATAAGTGGGATTTTGGCTGCAGTTTTGGCACTCGGTCTCTAAAAGGTTCGCCACCACTGGCATAAGGTCTCCTGCTTGAGCAGGGGGTTGGACTAGAAGACCTCTAAGGTCCCTTCTGGCTCTATTTTGATTTTCAGAACTCGTGATCAATTGGGCAAGCTTGGAATACAAGGCTTGGAATTTTGAATGGTGCTTTTGTAACAGTGGAAGGGCCTAGAATACAGATGTCCAACTTTGGCCACTTTTAAGACTTGTGGATTTCAACTCCCAGAATTCCCCAACCACCATAGCTGAGGTGTCCAAACTGGGCAACTTTAAGACTTGTGGACTTCAACTCCCAGAATTCCTCTGCTGGCTGGGGAATTCTGGGAGTGGAAGTCCGCACATCTTCAAACAGGGACGGTTGAGAAACACCAAAGTAGAATGCTGAAAAGGCCCTTAATACGTTTCACATCAAATGTCTGAAGTGGGTTTGAGGAGAGCCGTGCAGTTCCCACCAACTTTTCTCCACTGAAATTCACTTTCTTATTTTTCCAGGTGGTTTTGAAATTTTACAACTGAGCGGGTCTCTCCAACTTATTAAGTTGTAATAATTGCCTTCAGGAATTGTGGGCGCTCCATCACTGGAGGTTTTTAAGAAGACGCCAAACGGTCACTTGTCTGAGATGGTGTAGACTAGAGTAGGCCACCTTGGCTCTTTTTTGACTCATGGACTTCAACTTCCAGAATTCCTGAGCCAGCCATGCTGAGGGGAAAGGGAGCGGTTTCCAAGCTGAGCCATGCTGGCTCAGGAATTCTGGGAGTTGAAGTCCACGAGTCATAAAGCGGTCTAGGCCGGAGGTAGGCAACCTTGGCTCTTTTGTGACTCCTGAACTTCAACTCCCAGAATTCCTGAGCCAGCCAAGCTGAGGGGAAAGGGAGAGGTTTCCATGCTTAGCCGTGCTGGCTCAGGAATTCTGGGAGTTGAAGTCCATGAGTCGTAAAAGAGCCAAGGTTGCCTACCTCTGGCCTAGGCCTAGGCCTCTTTATGACCTGTGGACTTCAACTCCCAGAATTCCTGAGCCAGCATGGCTCAGCTTGGAAACCTCATTTTGCAAGCTCATTAATTAAAGAAAACAAAAAAACCCAATCAACTTGATAGCGATCATGTAACACACTGACAAAATGTCCTCCTCTCAGCTTCAATACGTGACATCGATAACCGGATCTGACTGTGATCTGATTGGCCCATGGCCAAAACAAGGTGACACCCGACTGGCTCTCTAAACACTCATGCTCATTGGCTACAATCAGAGGAAGGAAAGCTACCTGACATCCACCTGAGCAAGGTGTGCTTCCTTTTTCTGCTTATTTGGCTATAACTTTTCATAAAATACAGTACAGAGAATTGAACAAACTTGGCTGCATTACGTTCTTGATTAAATTATCTTTCCATCGATATGTAATTTGATGGTACTACTCGCCCCAAAAAGTGGTGTTATTAGCCATCCAACCTCAAAAACACTTTTCCCAAAAGGTTTCCACAATTTTGGCCACTGCTGTATTATAATACCAGTGATAATTAGCCACCCTCTGGAACAGAAAGGCAAGACTGAAGCCTAAATAAACAACACATGTGAATCTTAGAGCAACTATAATCCCATCATTAGGTGAGTTAGTGTTAGGAGATCATGCGGAACAAATTTTAATCCATTTTCTAACTCAAGTGTTCCTCAACCTTGGCATCCTGAAGACAGGTGGACTTCAACTCCCAGAATTCCCCAGGCAGCTGTGCTGGCTGGGGAATTCTGAGAGTTGGAAGTTCACCTATCAAGTGGCCAAGATTGAGAAACACGGTTCTAACTGAAGCCATCTGGGTTCTGTTCTCCCGTATGTGCCTTTGTTGATTCGACACGATGCAGCAGAATAAATAGGTAAATAAGTAGAACAAATAAAAACACACAAAAGCCATAAAAGTATATTTTAATTGCGGTAATGTTTTCCAGTCACTTAACTGGGGCATCCAGCTTTCCCCTTTTGAGCAAAGAATTAAAGCATTAAAAATGTGGGATGCGACAATATTGCCCAACTCTTTCCCATTAGCCAAGCTGCGTTTTCTTACACCGGGTTGATCTTGCCTACTGGAGTAATATCTAGGTAGTCCTCGACTTCTGACTGTTTTGTTTAGCGACCGTTCTAAATTACAGAAGGCACTGGGGGGAAAAAAAGCGACTTCTGACCGTTTTTCACACTTAGGGCTGCCGTAGCATCATGGGATCAAAGTTCAAAGGCTTGGCAGGGGACTCACATTTACGACGGTCGCAGTGTCCTGGAATCACGTGATCTCCTTTTGCGACCTTGTGACAAGCAAAGTCAGTGGGGGAAGCCAGATTCACTTAACCACCGTGTTACTACCTTAATGACGGTGGCAAGAAAAGTCGTAAAATGGGGCAAAATTCACAAAATGTCTTGCTTAGCAACAATTTTGGGCGTTAAGTCGAGGACTACCTATCCACGTGCAAATATATACCCAAGGGCTTAAATTCACTTTATGGTAACTTCGAAGCCTCTCCATGTCGGTTTGTTTCTTCGTTGATTTGGTGTGCAATGCAGAAGTGACTTTTCTGGGATATGTCCTGACTTCCCAATCTAACCTACATTCCAAGGATTTCTTAGTGGCCTCCCATTCAAATAATAACAAGGTTTGATCCTACTTACAGTAGTGGCCAAAATTGTGGAAACCTTTTGGGAAAAGTGTATTTGTGAGATTTTGATGGCTAATAACACTTTTTTTTGGAGGAGGAGTACCATAAAATTATATATCAATGGAAAGATAATTTAATCAAGAATGTAATGCAACTAAGTTTGTTCAATTATCTGTACTGTATTCTATGAAAAGTTATAGACAAATAACCGGAAAAAGGAAGCACGACTTGCTTAGGTTGATATCAGGTGGCTTTCCTTCACCTGATTGTAGCCAATGAGCATGAGTGTTTAGAGAGCCAATCAGGTGTCACCTTGTGTTGGCCATGAGCAAATCAGATCACAGTCGGATTCGGTTATTGATGTCCTGTATTGAAGCTGAGAGAAGGACATTTGTCGGTGTGTTACGTGATGGCTATCAAGTTGGCTGGGTTTTTTTGTGTTCTTTCATTTAGTGAGCTTGTAAAACGTAATAAAATTAAAGTGATGGTGCAAAGAGTTGACCGGTCGCCCAGAAAGTGATGGAAAATAGTATTATCAAGTGAACAAGGCTACCGTTGTAAAGAAATGAGAAGTATGCTTTTCCCAAAAGGTTTCCACAATTTTGGCCACCACTGTAGCTTCCAAGATCAATCCGCGTGGGACGGGTGCTGCCGCCCACTCCGATTAATACGCCCACATTTTGCAGCTCTCTTTCTCACTCGTGTATATACGCGCACCCCGAAAACATTTTACATTTCTTCTGACATCTCCCCAAATTCAGGCAAATTTTAAATTCCCATTTCACAGCCTGTCGACCTATGAGCGAGATGTGCTCCCTCAAACGATGGGCAAATCAATTGCTGGATTGTATATATACATAACGAATTAATTCTCAAAGCTTTGCTTTTCCCCCCACCGGTTTTTCAAGTGATGATGGCTGATCCTTCGCGGGCGAAGTGGTGGAGCACGACTAAAATAAAGTTGTATGAGTAGCAGCGTTTTATTTACGTAAGGATGGGCGCGAAATCCCTCCGCCCTCAGAGAAGTGGGCTGAAGGCTAGCATGAAAATACTGACTATGACGGTTTCCAGCTACGACGGCGGTCACCTTAAAAGCTAAAAAAACCCAAACCCTCAAGTCATTCCCCCCGAGGATTTTTAGTCCGGTTCTATGGGATGTTTTGGCTACGCTTCGTATACTTTTTGGCACAAATATTTCCTCTGTTCCTCCCGGTTACATTTGAGTAACGGAAACCACTCCCAAAAGGGCAGTTCCACTGGTATATATCCCATTCGGCGGAGTTGTCTCCTTTTCATGGCGTGGAGTCCCAGCAGCTCTTTTGAGTGGTACCTGTATTGGTTTCGGTTGGTGATTTGAAGAGCTAATTTCACACACTCTGGCTGCTTCTGGTTTATCGTAGAGGGTCGTCCTTCAGTTTTTGCATCGGCTGAAGGGTCCAAACCAGGTCCGGCATCGGAAAACTCCACTTTTTTCCAAACAGGCAGTCCACGAAATGCTGCCTTTTGCTGCATACCTTGGTTTTTCTCGCTTGCGTCAGGCTGGCCGAGCGATTTCCCTTTCAAAAGCTGGTTAATCAGGTTATCGGTCAGCAACGTGCCCTTTTTCTTCAGTTCTAAGCGCTCCGTGGTGGCCCCTTCTAAATTAAACGGCAACGGCTTTCGGCTGGCGTCTAAACGGACTTCTAAATCCACGGACCTGGCGTGGGGCAAGATGGCGTGGAACTTGACAAACTGGGGGCCCCCCAATACGTCCTCCAGGAGAGACCACGCCGCCTCAAATTCCGGCTTCAAGAAATAGTCCTGCATTTTTCCCGCCATCTCCTGTTTGTTTTGGACGCTCAGACGACTGCCGGCATAGGCCGGACACTCGATCCCCACCGTCCCGTCCAGGGTGAAAAAATCTTTCCAGAGATCATGTTTACAAACGCTGCTTAGCTGGATAAACTCGGGACTCAACACATAGTCCAGCAATTCGTAGGGGAAACGCTCCACAAAGGCCAAACCGATTAAGGAGGTGATCAAATGCTCGGGGAATTGGTTGTACTCGAACAACCGCGACTCCAGCTGCTCCAACAGGCTGTCGTAAAATTCTTCCCCATTGGGAGGCTGGTAGTTTAAGGTTCCAAAAGACCACAACAATTTCGCGATGTCCTTGGTTCGGCAAGAAGCCGCCTTGGGAGGCACCACCGTCGCAATGGCGTTCAGGATGTCTTCGTCGAAATAGCGCAACGAGGAGCAGGCAAACGCGATGTGCATGACCCCCGGCATGCTGATGGTGGAGATTCTGGGAGGAATGACATGCCGCAGCTCCTTTAGAAAGTCCATGTGATCCAAATGAATCCCCCGGAGCATTTTCAGCACGTTCACGATGGCAAAATTGCTCATGTCTCTCAGGGAGCCACAAATTTTGTCTCCGATTTTTCTCAAGAGAGGCTCGGACATGTTACTTTGCGCCTTGAAGAAACCCAAGCAGACGACTCCCACTTCCTCCAGACTGAGAGCCTGCAAATGTTTCGACACCGAGGCCTCCAACTTCTTGATTAACTCTTCAGGGGCCCGACGCCCTTCGCCGATGATGTAGACCAGCTGGACCAACTGGGTCAAAGACGGAGCCTGCCACTTCGCGTTGACGTCGTTCAACATCGCGTCCAGATACTGGGGGACTTTACAGTTCAAGCAACGCCACAGATCGGCCACTAGCAGTTGCTGGTCCAAGCTCAGCAGCTCGATTCGCCGGCTGCATTCGGCTTCCATGACCTTCAGCATATAATGGACGGGCGGAACGCCTAGGGCCACAAAGGCTTTCAAAAGCACGATCAGCTCGGCGTTCCCAAACCGCTGGACGCTCCGAACCACGCCCTGACAAAGCACCGCAAAGCTGGCGCTGGACTTGAAGGCCTGGCGTTTTTCTGCCGGCAAATGGCTCAGCCGGAAGAAAGAGTTCACGATGTCCTTGGGTTTCATGTACTCTTTCAACACGGAGACGTTCTGTAGGATGAAATGATACTCTTCGGCTGGAAGGGGCAGAAGGCGTTGATCTGGGCTGTAACACAGCGATTTGTACTCGGGTCTCTGCTTCTGGAATTGCCTAGCCACTTCCTTGCTGCCTTTTGCCTTTAAATGGACCTCATCCGTGCCATTCCTGATGGAGGACAACAGCCAGGAGTCCCTTGGGGAAGCTTGAGTGCAGAAAGCTTTGCCGTTTCTCCAATCTAGAAAACTGCTCTTTATTCTTGAAAGCCTTGGGAGACAGAGAATCCTGGGTGTATTCTGGATGCATCTAATACTAGTTCTGGAGCAAACAGATTCAAGACGTCCTTCTCTGAAAGCTAGGAGGGCAACATTGTGAAGGAGACCCTTAGATTCCCGGGAAATGGAAGGGTAAGGACTTAATTGGTAACCTGGTGGCTTCCATGCTTTGAGCACCACAGCAACTATCGGATTTCGGCCTCTTCTTTGGATGCTTTGGCTCGCTTCTTCTCGGGGGAAGCTCTTCGGGATCTCCGCCTTGGGAAATGTAGTTGTCCTACAAGACCGCCCTGAAAATCTTCGGCATATTATCCTCGTAGACATGGTCACAATTACCAGGCCGGGTACTGAAAAAAGGGCAGATGAAGAATAAGTGGCTTCCACTTCTGCTGTCGTTATCAAGATAATTTTCTGAAAGCGCTACATTTACTCAGAATCCAATGCGCTCTACGCCCAAAGAAAACCAACAGAGTAACTAGAAACAACGCTACTTAGCTTTGCATGCTCTTCTTTTACATACGTTTGGTAGTTAAGGCACCAGGCTCAAAAGCAGGAAATGGTGAGTTCTAGTCCTGCCTTATCTAGGAAAGCCGGGTTGGTGTTTTTGGGCCAGGCGAGTTCTAGTTCCACCTTAGGCATGAAAGCCGGCTGGGTGACTTTGGGCCAATCACCAGGTGATGGTGAGTTCTACTTCCGCCTTAGGCATGAAAGCCTGCTGGGTGACTTTGGGCCAATCACCAGGGGACGGTGAGTTCTAGTTCCGCCTTAGGCATGAAAGCCTGCTAGGTGACTTTGGGTCAATCACCAGGAGACGGTGAGTTCTAGTTCCGCCTTAGGCATGAAAGCCTGCTGGGTGACTTTGGGTCAATCACCAGGAGACGGTGAGTTCTGTCCCGCCTTAGACATGAAAGTCTGCTGGGTGACTTTGGGCCAATCACCAGGAGACGGTGAGTTCTAGTCCCGCCTTAGACATGAAAGTCTGCTGGGTGACTTTGGGCCAATCACCAGGAGACGGTGAATTCTAGTCCTGCCTTAGGCATGAAAGCCAGATGGGTGACTTTGAGCCAATCACCAGGAGACGGTGAATTCTAGTCCCGCCTTAGACATGAAAGTCTGCTGGGTGACTTTGGGCCAATCACCAGGAGACGGTGAATTCTAGTCCTGCCTTAGGCATGAAAGCCAGATGGGTGACTTTGAGCCAATCACCAGGAGACGGTGAATTCTAGTCCTGCCTTAGGCATGAAAGCCGTCTGGGTGACTTTGGGCCAGTCCCTCTCTCCCAGCCCAACCCACCTCACAGGGTTGTTGTAGGGAAAATAGGAAGAGGCAGGGGTGTTGGATATGTTCGCCGTCTTGAGGTATTTGTAAAAATAATAAAGGTGGGGAATGAATGAGTGAGTGAGTGAATGAAGGCACCCAGAAATGAAGGAATAATTATTTCAGAACTAGGAAATTTTCCTCCCCAAATTGGATTTATTTCTTCTTCCTGACCCATATACCATCCTTGTATTTACCAAAAGACAGAAGCATGCAATCCACTGGTAATTCCAGTGTCTGTCCTCCTCCCACACACACGTATGCAAAAACAAACACGGATAGTAAACCTTGAGCACACATCTCATCCCTCCCTCCCTCCATCCATCCTCCCTCCACCAAAAACCTTCAGGTTATCCCCACCAAGGTTTCTCTTTCAATCAATTCTGCCCTTTCCCTGACATCCTGGATGGATGTCATGATTTTGCTGCTACGAGCATCACCCAACTCTCAAACCCAAGCATGGCATCATGGCACCTGAAGTCTATTTCCCTACGATAAGAAACTTGAAATAATGCATGTCCCTTTCTTAGTTGGCTCAATCAATAGTGCAAAAGTTCCATTTTTGACACTCTTCAATGTTACGAAGCACAGATGCCTCCCACCCGGCCACTGGATACTCTGGGAGTGGAAGCCCACACATCTTAAAAGTTGCTGAGGCTGTGGAACAATGGAGTAATGGCTACAGTGCTAGGCTAGCAATCAGAATATTTATTGTGAGTTCTAGTCCCACTTTAGGCATGCAAGACAGCTGGGTGACTTTGGGCCAATCACCAGGAGACGGTGAGTTCGAGTTCCGCCTTAGGCATGAAAGCCAGCTGGGTGATTTTGGGCCAATCACCAGGAGATGGTGAGTTCTAGTCCTGCCTTAGGCACAAAAGCTGGCTGGGTGACATTGGGCCAATCACCAGGAGACAGTGAGTTCTAGTCCCGCATTAAGCATGAAAGCGGGCTGGGTGACTTTGGGCCAATCACCAGGAGACGGTGAGTTCTAGTCCCACCTTAGGCACGAAAGCCAGCTGGGTGACTTTGGGCCAATCACCACGCTGCAAACATAAACTACTTGTTTGTTTAGAAGAATTAGCATCCCCAAAAAAGGAAACAGGAAGCAAAAGAATCTATCAGGGTTGGCAAAGCCAAAACTAGCAGGACGTAAGAGACAGAGAAAGGCAATTGGGCAGAAAGGGGATAAACTGTATGTACTCTAAATTCTTATTTTTGTTTAAAAAGAGATTCCAATCAGAACCACTTTTTATTTTGTTTTCTGCAAAAAAAAAAAAAAAAAAAAAAAAAAAAAAAAAAAACCAAAACCCTGCACAATCTAGGAAGATTAAAAGGATTACACCAAGGACCTAACATTCATTTTCCCAAGCCCACGGAAGTGTTTAACTGTCTCTCTCTCTCTCAAATGAGTCATATCCCACATACAGGTAGTCCTCCAGTTACGACAGCTCATTTAGGGACCGTTCAAAGTGACCATGAAAAAAGGGACTTATGACCGTTGTTCACATCGACGAGCGGTGCAGCATCCCCGGGGTCACGTGATCAAAATTGAGACGCTTGGCCACTGACTCGTATTTATGACGGTTTGCAGTGTCCCCAGGGATCACGCGATTCCCCTTTTGCAGCCTTCTGAGAAGCAAAGTCAATGGGGGAAGCCAGATTCACTTAACCACCGTGTGACTAACTTAACAATCGCAGTGATTCACTTAATAACAGTGGCAAGAAAGGTCGTAAAATGAGGCAAAATTCACTTAACTGCCGTCTCGCTTAGCAACAGAAATTTTGGACTCAATTGTGGTTAAGTCGAGGACTAAATGCACTATATATTCTGTGTTTTCCCGAAAATAAGACCGGGTCTTATTTTATTTTTTTTTTGCCTCTAAAAAAGGCACCAGGTCTTATTTTCGGGGTAGGCCTTACCTCACCTCCAGCACCACCCAGCCGGTCCCGCTTCTTCTGGGGCCGAAGTTCTGCAGCTGCATTCGGGCCTGCACTTTGCAGTCAGGCCTTTCTGGAAGGCCTAAGCAGCCGAATACTGAGCTATGGATTCAATCCATAGCTTGGTACTCGGCTGCAGTGGATTGAACCCATAGCTCGGTTCTTGGCTGCAGAGGCCTTCTGGAAAGGCCCGTGATTGAGAAATGCAGGCCTGGCTGCAGAAGAGGCCTCAGAAGAAGTGGGCCGGCGAGGAGAGGCCTGGCTACAAGGGAAGCAGGTGCAGGACGCATGGGGCAGATCCACATTCCCCTACCTGTCCTAGCTTGATTTTTAGGTTTGTGCCTCGCCCCAAAACTAGGGCTTATTTTGGGGGTAGGGTTTATATTAGGCCCACGCCCCAAATCAAGCTAGGGCTTATTGTTGGTGTAGGCCAGGGGTAGGCAGCCTTGACTCTTTTATGACTCGTGGACTTCAACTCCCAGAATTCCTGAGCCAACATGGCTCAGCTTGGAAATTTCTCCCTTTCCCCTCAGCATGGCTGGCTCAGGAATTCTGGGAGTTGAAGTCCACGAGTCATAAAAGAGACAAGGTTGCCTACCTCTGGGCTAGGCCTAGGCTGCTTTATGACTTGTGGACGTCAACTCCCAGAATTCCTAAGCCAGCATGGCTTAGCTTCGAAACTTCTCCCTTTCCCCTCAGCATGGCTAGCTCAGGAATTCTGGGAGTTGAAGTCCATGAGTCATAAAAGAGCCAAGGTTGTCTACCCCTGGTGTAGGCCTTACATCCGGGGAAACACGGTAGTACATATTGTCATCATTTTTCCTTAGGGTTCATCTTTTGTCTGTAGAGCTATTGCGACAAATAGTGTTATAATTTTCAAAGCAGAAGCCCCAGAGAACTGCACAATTTGTCAAGCTAGGAAATCGAGGTACATTTTTTCAAGTTATTGATGCTACTGTAAAATGAATGAATGAAGTCAAGCTCTCAATAATCCTAAAATAGAGAAATTCACTCGCTCAAGCCAACCTTAAGAGCCAGGGTGATATGCAGCCAATTAAGTGACTTATCAGATTATTGTTGGCCAGGAAAGGGGGAGGGGGGAAAATTACTGGTAGTCCTCGACTTATATCCAAAATTTCCGCTGCTAAACAAGACAGTTGTTAAAACGAGTTTGGCTCCGTTTTCGCAACCTTTCTCGCCAGTTCTTAAAACAAATCGCTGCCGTTAAATGAATCATGCGACAGTGAAGCAAACCTGGTTTCCTCCATTGTCTTGGCTTGTTGGAAGCTGGCTGGAAAGGCTGACCAAGGGTAATCACGTGACCCAGGGACACTGCAACTGTTTAAGTACATGCCAGTTGCATCCGGATTTTGATCACGGGGATGTCGCGACGGTCGCGAAGTGTGAAAAACGGGGACGAGTTGCTTCTTTTCCGTCCAGTTGTAGCTTTGAACGGTCACTAAATGAACAGCTGTAACTTGAGGACTTACCTGTGTCGGGAGCTATAAGTTATTAGAGCTGTCTCTTATGCTTTCAAAAAAGGCTAAGAAGGGTTTCCAATCTTTTGAGAATGACGAGACCCATTAACAAACTTTTGGTCTACAAAATGCATATTGAAATACTGAAATAATAATAATAATAATAATAGTAAAGTTGGAAGGGACCTTGGAGGTCATCTAGTCCAACCCCCTACTCAGGCAGGAAACCCTATACCATTTCAGACAAATGGCTGTCCAGTCTCTTCTTAAAAACTTCCAGTGTTGGAGCATTCACCGCTTCTGGAGGCAGGTGGTTCCGCTGGTTAATTGTTCTAACAGTCAGGAAATTTCTCCTTAATTATAGGTTGCTTCTCTCCTTGATTAGTTTCCATCTATTGCTTCTTGTCCTGCCTTCAGGTGCTTTGGAGAATAGCTGGACCCCCTCCCTCTTCTTTGGGGCAGCCCCTGAGATATTGGAACATTGCTATCCTGCCCCCCCTCGTCCTTCTCTTCATTAAACTGGACATACCCAATTCCAGCAACCGTTTCTTATATGTCTTCTAATTATCTTTGTTGCTCTTCTCTGTACTCTTTCCAAAGTCTCAGCATTACATGATTCAGAATAACAGGGACCGTGGAGTACCAATTACCTCTTGTCCTTCCTTTGGGTGCTATGGAGAATAAATTGCCCCCCTCTTTCTTTTACAGCCCTTCAAGTATCAGGTCTTAGGGAAGCCTAAGCCTTAACAGAATAACAGAGGTGGAAGGGGCCGTGGAGGTCTTCTAGTCCAATCCCCTGCTCAGAGAGGAGACCCTATATCAGTGGTTCTCAACCTTTTTAATGCCGCGACCCCCCAACCGGTCGTTAAGTCGAGGACTATTCAACCAGTCGTAAGTCAAGGACTACTCAACTGGTGCAGCACCATTTGCAGAATGGGACTTTTGGTGGGCTCAGCAGGGCAGAGACAGCCTGGACAATTCCTATTGGCTTTTGAAAGCCAATAGAATTAGACTCGATTCAAGAGAGTCTATTCTATTGGCTTTCAAAAGCCAATAGAATAAAAGGGCGTAGCACAGCTAAGGAAAAGGGGGGAAAAATGGCGGACTGCGTTGTTTGGCAACCCCTGTGAAATGGTCGTTCGACCCCAAATGGGGTCCCGACCCACAGGTTGAGAACCACTGACCTATAGCATTCCAGACAAGTGGCTATCCAGTCTCTTCTTAAAAACCTCCAGTGATGGAGCACCCAGAACTTCTGGAGGCAAGTCGTTCCACTGGTTAATTGTTCTGTCGGGAAATTTCTCCTTAGTTTAATTCTTCCATTCATTTCATTTACATTTTTTTTTCACGTAGCACCCCCCCCCCATCCCGAATGAAGCATAACATAAAGACAGAATTTGTTTACAGCTGGTGTAAGATTTTCGAGCGGACATTTTGTTTTTATTTTTCAGAGAGCAAACGGGGCCACTGCGGTCTATTAAAATGGTGCAAAGGATAGGGAGTCCTTTGTCCCTCTCCTTCCATCTGTTTCTATCCTTGCCATCGATCCCTTCCAGAGAAAAAAAAAATAGAAATAGAAAGCAGGCAGGAAGATTCGGGAAACGGCACGCGGTGTACAGGATTTGGATTAAAGGGAGGGAGACTGCGATCTGTTATTGCCACCTAGTGCTAGGAAAGACCAGTAGTAAAATGAGAGCAGACCTCCTCTGAAAAACATGAGCATAAATTGGTGGCTACAACAAGGGTGAAGAACAACGTAACCCCAAAGGTGTTTTTTTTTTTTTTCAGGAGGCAAATGGACTTTGGGTTTTTTTTTTTTTTTTGAAGACGTTTCGCTTCTCATCCAAGAAGCTTCTTCAGCGGCGACACGTCTTCAAAGAAAACCAAGAAAGTTCCGTTTGCCTTCGGAAAAGCGCCTTAGGGACAACCATGACCTGGATGATTGACAAACTCCACAGACAGAGTTATTTTACAGTTGGTAAGGATTCTTATTGATTGTGCTGTTTCAGCATCACCCACCAGTTAAAATCTTCAAACATTTTCTAGTTCCCAGATGAACTCCAAATTGGAATGGCTTTTAATCTCTCTCCCTTTGGGGCTTCCTCTCCTTCAGCCAGTGGTTCCACTATAGCAGTGGTTCTCAACCTTTTTAATGCCGCGACCCCCAACCGGTCGCAAGTCGAGGACTACTCAACTGGTGCAGCACCGTTTGCAGAATGGGACTTTTGGCGGGCTCAGCAGGGCAGAGACAGCCTGGACAATTCCTATTGGCTTTTGAAAGCCAATAGAATTAGACTCTATTCAAGAGAGTCTATTCTATTGGCTTTCAAAAGCCAATAGAATAAAAGGGAGTAGCACAGCTAAGGAAAAGGGGGGGAAAAATGGCGGACTGCGTTGTTTGGCGACCCCCAAATGGGGTCCCGACCCACAGGTTGAGAACCACTGCACTATAGAGACGAGTCCTTAACTGGAAACCAGATGATGGGATAGGGAGAATAGAAGAGAAATAGAATATAGACTATAGAATAGAATATAGACTATAGGAATAGAATAGAATACAGAAATAGAATAGAATATAGGAATAGAATAGAGACTATAGGAATAGAATATAGAATATAGAGGAATAGAATAGGATAGGAGCTGGAAGGGACCTTGGAGGTCTTCTAGTCCAGCCCCCTGCTCAAGCAGGAGACCCTATAGTCTCTTTTTTTAAAAATCTCCAGTGATGGAGCGCCCAAGATTTCTGAAGGCAAGCTGGTCCTCACTGTGCTTCGTCGCAACATAAAAGTGTCTGTTTACTCCAGGTTCTCCTTTTAGGAAGAAGAGGGAGATTGCCGCTGGGATGGACAGCAGTTTCCCGGGGACTTAATTGTGGCTGCAAAACGAGGACTACCTGTACCTGGAGTTGGGAGTTCAGGAGCACCTTGGATGCCCACCTGTGGCTACCTAGCCCAGGGGGTCTTCAAACTTGGCCCTTTTATGACTTGTGGACTTCAACTCCCAGAACTCCTCAGCCAGCGTGCGTGGCTGAGGAATTCTGGGAGTTGAAGTCCACGTCATGAAAGGGCCACGTTTGAAGACCCCTGATCTAGCCGGGCAGAGGGGGCAGAAGCCCCACCCCCTGCCCCTCCCCTTCCAAATAAGCCCCACCCACCACTGTTTATTATCAGAGTCCAGCAGTCTCTGAGATGACAGCAGGCGCACCTGAGAAAAGGGGCGGGGGAGGAGTCAGGAACCCCCCCCCCGGCCAATCAAGGGGAGCAGGAGGAGGAGCCTCCGCAGGAGCCTCCCCTTCGATTGCGCAATTCCCGCGACTGACGTCGCAGGGGCGCACAGCCGCCTTCCCCAACGCGGCGCCCTCCAGACCACGAAACTCCCCTCGCCTGGGGGCGGGGCCACGGGGCTGTGACGTTGCGCGCGGGGGGCGGGGCTCACGCACCAGCCCTCCCCCTCCCCCGTGCGAATGCGTCCACGTCTCTGGGGGACGTGGGGGGGGAGGGGTGGCTAACCGGCCCGCTTCGTCCCTTTAGCCCCCCCTCGGCTCGAAAACACGGTCCAGCCATTCTTCCCCGTCCCACACTCACCGCGGGCTACCTTCCCGTTTTCCTTCGGCCGCGGCCGCCGCTCGCAGGGCGCTGGGCGAAGCTCCCCTTTCGCCCCCGCAGGACCACTTCCGGTCAGGTGGCGTCACGCAGTTCCGGCGAAGAGCCTAACGGCCGAGGTTAACCTCGCCGACAGAGGGGAATCTCGCGCAGGCGCTGTTGGTAAAAGGTAGCTTTGGGCCGGAAGGGAAATGGAAGCGGGCGTCTCGTCCGCTTCCGCGCGCATGCTCAGAGAAAGAAGCGACGACGACGGCGATATTGCGCAGGCGCTAGAGGGTGCGCGTGCAAGTCGGTAGTCCTCGACTTACGACCGCAATTGAGCCCAACCTTCATGTTGCTAAGCAGGACCGTTGTTGAGCGAGTTTTGCCCCGTTTTACAAATTTTCTTGTCGCTCTCGTTAAGTGACTCGTTGCAGGTGTTAAGTTAGTCATACGGTCGTTAAGCAAATCTGACTTTGCTCGTTGGAAGGTCGCAAAAGGGGATCATGCGATCTTTGAGACGCTGCGACCGTCATAAGTACGAGTCAGTTGCCCAGCGTCTGAATTTTGATCATATGTGACCCTGGGGACGCTGCAATGGTTGTAAAGGGTGAAAAATGGCTCTAAGTCCCTTTTTTTCTGTGCCCTTGTCACCTTGAACGGTCACTAAATGAATGGCTGTAAGTCGAGGACTAAAACCAGGAAACAACAGCGCTGGTGTTTTATTTTTATGATGATTAAATAATGTCTATCAAGGCTTCTTGAGTCTGCTTGATGGACCAGGGAAAGGAGGAAACATTTGCAAGATCAAAATACCTGAATGTTTGAAGAATAACGATTGTGAAAAGCATCCAGATGTCATTTTTTATTTTTAAAAAAAGATACTCCAAAAGTTGGACAATAATTGAGGTGAGGTGCTTTTCTGAGCTTGGTGGTTTTCTTGTAGACTTCTCGCAGTGATGATGTTACCTAGTTGGGTCATGAAACGTCTGCAAGAAAACCACCAAGCTCAGAGAGCACCAAAGACCTCACAGTCCTCCTCCCCCTCCTCCTTCTTCTTTTCCTCCTCCTCCTCCTCCTCCTCCTCCTCTCAGCAAACCTTAGTCCCTTCTAGTACTGAGGATGTTACCTAGATGGATCATGAAACATCTGTAAGAAAACCACCAAGCTCAGAGAGCACCAGAAACCCCACAGTCCTCCTCCTCCTCCTCTTCTTCTTCTTTTTCTCCTCCTCCTCCTCCTCCTCCTCCTCCTCCTCCTCCTCCTCTTCTTCTTCTTCTTCTTCTTCTTCTTCTCCTTCTTCTCCTTCTTTTCTTTCTCCTCCTACTCCTACTCCTACTCCTTCTCTCAACAAATCTTACTCCCTTCTAGTACTGAGGATGTTACCACATGAAACATGTGCAAGAAAACCACCAAGCTCAGAGAGCAAAAAGGACCCCATGGTGGTCCTCCTCCTCTCTGTAAAACCCACCCTCTTCTAGCACTGATGATGTTACCTAGTTGGGTCATGAAACGTCTGCAAGAAAACCATCAAATTCAGAGAGCACCCAGGACTCCACAGTTGTCTCCTCCTCCTCCTCCTCTCTGCAAATACTCCCTTCTAGCACTGATGATATTACCTAGTTAGATCATGAAACATTTGCAAGAAAACCACCCAGCTCTGGGAGCACCAAAGATTCCACAGTCTTCCTCCTCCTCCTCCTCCTCTCTTCAAACCCCCCTCCCTTCAAGCAGTAATGAGGTAACCTAGTTTGGGTCATGAAACATCTACAAGAAAACCACCAAGCTCAGAGAGCACTAAGGACCCCATGGTGGTCCTCCTCTTTCTCCTCCTCCTATCTGTAAAACCCACCCTCTTCTAGCACTGAGGATGTTACCTAGTTGGGCCATGAAACGTCTGGAAGAAAACCACTAAGCTCAGAGAGCATCAGGGGCTCTTCATTTCAGCCCTGAGCTACAAATATTCTCCTTTATCAGATTTTAAAACAGATCCAGAGAGTTAAACCAATTCCTCCCCCTGTTCTTGTAATCGTATACAGAGTTGGTTGCCTCATTTTGCCTACCTGGTGTCCCCAGAAAGAGAGCTGGGAGAGAAAGCGGCCTGGAAAAGCAACTTTGGACTGTTCACAGAATTCACTTATCAAGACCGAATAGTCCAGAACATGGCTATAAATAAGAGTATTTGCTTTTTACCCCAGTCGTTAAGTGAATCACTACAGTTTTTAAGTCAATCACGCTGTCCTTAAGCAAAGCTGGTATCCCCTTTTGACTTTGCTTGTCAGAAGGTCGCAAAAGGGGATCACTTGACCCCGGGACACTGCAACCGTCATAAATATGAGTCAGTTGCTAAGCGTCCAAATTTAGATCACATGACCCTGGGGGAAGCTCCAATGGTCTGTTGAAGGAAAAGTCTTCATCATGGTTCAGTCCAAGCCGGGAATAAACAACATGACGACTGCTTTAGAAAGAAGGTTGCAGTTTATTGAAGAGGGGAGCCAGACAGAAAGATGGCTCTGGAAGAAAAAAGAGAGAGCACATGTAGGGAGTGGATTTTTATACCTTCTTGAGCCTTTTGTTTGGAGTTGTTCCTGTGGCATGAACTTTGACCTGAGTCTGAGTGTGCCTTTCTGGTATTCTGATGGTGGTGGGTTAATCCTATTATGTCCCAAGGGTCCTATCCTGCTTCCCTGGGGGGCTGTGGCTGATGGCTGTTGGATGTTTTTAGTGTAAGGGATTTTTGATTCTAGGGATCTTTCTAATCCCAGCTTCCTGACTCCACAATCTTTCTGACAAGATTATCACATCTGCATTTCTGCAGATCTGGTTTATGTCTGGAGCAGAGAGACTTGGGGGGGGGGTTAAAAATCCTTTGGGGAAATATAGTCTGCCTTTTAAATATTTTCAAGAATATTTCTTTCTCGGGGGGGTACTGACTTCCCACAGGTCGTAAGTGCGAAAAACAGCCGTGTTACTTTTTCCAATGCCTTTGTAATCTTGAACGGTCACTGAACAAACTGGTTGTAAGCCAAGGACTTATAAAATCAGGAAACCAGGGGGCTGTTTTTAAAGCTTAAAATATCGGACTGAATTCAAGTCCATTCTCAAAATTGAGACTTGTTACACTGGTGTTTCTCTCAGCCCTGTTTTCCTCAGAGGTTATTTGAGGGATCAAATCTACTTTCCACGGAGCTTTGGATAAATGGCCAACTGGAAATGCCGTAAATCAGATATTTTCAAACGCGGGAATTCTAACAAGGCAGTAGCTGTGCAGCTAATTTTCCGCACAGGCAAGAATTGAATTGGCTTAAGAGTCTAATAATCCTAGACCTGTTTGTTCAGAAGATAGTCACACGATCCAGTCTAATCTCTTGTAAGTATTGTTAAGTTTGTGTGGCTATAGAAATAACACTTGGATTCCTAGCCTGGAGCCCCTTGGAATTCAGGGGCGTTTACTTCTGATTAAATCTGATTTTAAGTTTCTGATGCCATTGTGCAGATCCAGAATCGCTTGAGAGTTAATCTAAGACAGGGGTCTTCAAACTTGGCCCTTTTATGACTTGTGGACTTCAACTCCCAGAATTCTTCAGTCAGCATGCCTGGCTGAGGAATTCTGGAAGTTGAAGTCCACAAGTCATAAAAGGGCCAAGTTTGAAGACCCCTGATCTAAGAGGATCACGTAACACTGCATTCACTTTCCATGTTTTATTCAAGTTAAGTTGTGCTAGACAGGCCTTTTGTAATCTCCACTTTTCAAAGTGTCCCAAGCTTCTTGGGTGGTTTTGTCCTTCAGGATTCTCATCCAGGGCCTCCTTCCCACGTTCTCTCTAGGTTTATTGAAACCAGCTCTCTTAAAGTCCAAGAGGGAAGGACAGGAAACAATGGTTGGAAGCTGATCAAAGAGAGAAGCAACCTGGAATTAAGGAGAAACTTCCTGACAGTGAGGACAATCAACAGTGGAACAGCTTGCCACCAGAAATTGTGGGCTGAAGTTTTTAAAAAGAGACTGGACAATCACCTGTCTGAGATGGTGTAGGTCCTCTTGCTTAAGCGGGGGGCTGGACTAGAAGACCTCCAAGGTCCCTTCCAGCTCTATTCTATTCTAGTTTGGCTTTGTTCTATCACTTGTGCTTGCATAATGTTGAGTTCCAATGCAGGTAGTCCTCTACTTACAACGACAATTGAGCTCCACGTTTCTATCTCTAAGCAAGACACATGTTAAGTGAATTTTGCCCCATCTTACGATCAATATTTCCTAGAAATATAGGAAAGGTTTTTCCTGTTGAACTTCTTGCAAACAGTACATGATCTCACTTTGGAAATAAAATGGTTCCGAAGTGGACTTTTTCAAAGTTTTCTGTTCTTATCAGCCGAGAGGCAGACAGAGGACGGAGGCCAAGCTAATAAATTACCCGAATCAATCATTTTTTTCAAATGTTCTCCAGAACAAACATTCCACGTTTACAATCCAGTTTTACATTTGGACACCTACATTGGCGGTGTCCAAAATTCTTTTAGTCAATGCGATCCTCCTTTTTGGAAAATTCCTTTAGAAAAATCAACCAGCCTTTCAAAAACTAGAATTACAATCAAATTCTCTGAAAGCTATCCTTGGCCGTCTAGGAAGGCTCACCGCTGTTTGACTTTTAGTTCGATCATTTACGAACGTTAACAAAAAAACAAACTATCAAATGAAATTTTTTTTAAAAAGCAGCAGACAGGTTGTCCAGCCAGATGAGTTTCAAAAAAAAAAAAAAGCCTCCAGTGAGAGGCATGACTAAAATAATGTGGAAATTGATGACAGGCCCGTTAATTAAATCTGCTGTTTAGCAAAGGACTTAATTGGTCTGTGACAAATTCCCGGAATAAATGAAATGAAGAGTCGATTGCTTCTCTGTTCTTCTTAATGCTGCTTCCTCTTTGTGTTTGAATAACCGACTGAGAGTCCTGCATATATATAATAAATATCTATTATCTGTGAGGTCCAGTTACAGTAATAACTGAGAGATGAATTTAGATGTCCTCTAGAGCAGTGGTTCTCAACCTTTTTAATGCCACGACCCCCAACCGGTCGTAAGTTGAGGACTACTCAACCAGTCGTAAGTCGA